TTGCAAGATAAATAAGGTAGATTGAAGTTATTCATCCTTTTACATATAAGTCTGTGTCCACACTACAAAGAAAAGTCAGAAAAAGATACCCAAATTGCAAACTGCAATTTGCGTATCTTTTTCCACTTTTCTTCTGAAAGAGGCTTTTCCGACATTTGGCCCAGCTACACGGGGCCAAATGTCAGGGAAAAAACCCTGTTTCAGAACATCTCATCTTCCTCATAGAATGATGTTCACAGGGATGCCAAAAAACACATCTGTTTTTCCCCAGAAATATTCCAAAAGGCATAGTAATTTAAGTGCATTCTAACTGAATATATGAAATGGTATCAATTCATGTGATGCTCCTGAGTATCTTGTGCTGATTCAATTGCAGGATCAATTATATTTAGGGTCATTTTTAGGACTAGCTTTTACAAAGAAACACAGTTCATTTTCTTCCTGAGGTGCGTGGGGGAAGAGAAGTTTTGATCTTGTTCCCAAAGATAAGGAGGCAAATGGGAAACAATTCTTTTCAGTAGTGTAGGTGGGATTCTACTACTGACAAACAAGCAGTTTTACTAACAGTTTTAATGCCCGCCTTTATAATTTAATCAATGGATAGTATATTATCTGAGCCATCACATTCACTTATAACACTTTCATTTACATAATTTTAGGTCATTTGTGACAATACCCCACAAAACCATGGAAGTACATAATTAAAGACAGGAGAGACTGACTGTACCCTATGCTTTCCATCACTAGATCATGATTTTGTGCTGTATGCAAGCTGTTAAGGTGACTTCCGTTTTGCATAGCAGGATTTAAAAGTCTGCTTTTATGTTTCCCCTTTACCATTTTTGTTGGCTTGTGGTATAACCTTAAGTGCTTTTTGAAAATAAATTATTTCCATCCCTTCCCTCCAGTAAATTATAGGCTTTTTTTTTAAATAAGCTGTGTGCATTAAAACAATGCATCCGCTGTCAGAAATCTTTAGCTATAATGTTACTTCAGGTTTAGATCCAATAGTGAGTACAAATCAAATAACACATCTGCTGCTGAGGTAGCTCTCTTGAAACCAGTGCCAAAGTGTTTGCTGAAGTGGGAACTAAATAATTTCCTCTTTTTCCTCTTTGTGCTCCTGGGCTTAGCAACCTGAGTATGCTCAGTCTCAGAACCAACCCAGAACCACCATGCAGAGGAGTAAAGAGCCTGTATGTCCTTTATTTACAACACCATAGGGGAGGGATTTCTCTTTTTAAACACACACATAATACCATAATTACAATTTTACAATATAGTTCAATATTAATAACATTTCAGAGGTATTGTGTTATAACAGAGATGACTTGGATCATAAAGTGATGAATTTTGTAACTTAAATACAGGTGTGCTGGAACAATTTGTAAAGTGGGGGTGCTGAGAGCCATTGAACAAAACTATAAATCCTGTATACAATGGAAACCACTTCAAATTGGGGGAGCAGCAGTGCTCCAGCACTTGTAGTTTCAGGACCTACACTTAAAAACAGTTGATAGATTAAATGCAGATTTTCACTTCAAGTATATGTACAGCAGATTTTATTAATTATGACAATCATATAAGAAAGGGGCATTTCCCCCGATGGGTCATGTTATGGTTTTTAGCTTCCCATTTGCCTCCTGCTTCCTCCTAAAAACAATTCTGAATGGTAGAAGGGAAATGACTTCCCCAATTTATGCAATAGCCTGCTGTTCACATTCCTCTTTGTGGCTAAACAATGTAGATATTGGTTTTGCTTAAAGCTGTCTACCCAATTTTTTCAATCAACTCTCTGAATAAAAGATAACTACTGAATGACTAGGAATGAATGGGTAACGATAAAATTAATTTGCTTCTTTTAACTCATTGTTAACTTTACTGATTTCTAATCAAATGGAACGTTTTTTACTCCTGAAGACCTTAGTCTAGTCAACCACCTAAGTGGGGAAAGTGGTGATATAGCAGAATGCACACTTAGGCTACATCTACACAGCTTCCCTCTTCCACAAAAGCCTATGCAAATGAAGCACGGATTAGCATATTGCCATGCTTCATTTGCATAATTAATTAGGAGCCCTTTTGCGCAAAAACCCCCTCTTGTGCAAGAGCCATTCTTCCTGAAAAAATGAGGAAGAACAGCTCTTGCGAAAGAGGGGTTTTTTTGCACAAAAGGCACTGTGTAGATGGCGCCTTTTTGCGCAAAACCTCTTGTGCAAAAATGGCTCCTAATTAATTATGCAAATGAAGCATGGCAATATGCTAATCCGTGCTTCATTTGCATAGGCTTTTGTGGAAGAGGGAAGCTGTGTAGATGTAGCCTAAGTGTGCATTCTGCTATATCACCACTTTCCCCACTCAAACCTGCCAGATGAACAAAGTAAATTCTGGTAATTTGTCCAGTATAATATGAGCTGGGGGAAAAGCTAATTTTGAGAACCATAAATAGTGTAGGTTTAAAGTAGACATTCTATTGGTTTACATATTCCCTGTATGGCAGTAGATATTAAAGATAATGAAATGTAGATCAAATAAAAGGGCACTCTTAAATAATATATTTTTAAATGCTTCTTATTTCTTTGTAATGTGAGTTAGGCAACTACTGTGCACCTTGTTGCCTAACTGCATTTTTAGGTGCCTAAACACTTCAAAAGAGAGCTAGAGTAGGATTTTCTTAAAGATGGAATTTAGGCATTATATCAATTTTACCCCTAATGAAAAGTAAGTTGTTTGTTTGTTTTAAATGAACTTGTCCTCAAATTTCCAATCCTTGAAGGAGTATATTTACTTGCCTTTTAATACTGCATTGATTAATACACCCCTGCAGGATTGGAAATTTGGGGAAAACTTAATTTAAAACAAACAAATAATTTACTTTTAATTGGGGTAAAATTGTCATAATTCCTAAATTCCATCTTCAAAAGAGATCTAGGGCAGGATTTTTTTAAAGTATTTAGGCACCTAAAATGAATTTGTGAAAACATTTTCATTCATACTACATTAGATTCCACCCTTTCCTCTCTGTAATCAATGGGACTATTTGTTAAGCTTGATATTACTTGCTAAGGCTAGGTCTACACAACACATCTCTGTCGGCAGAGGGATGTAAATAAAGCACATTGAAAGTGCAAATGAAGCGGTGATTTAAATATCCCATGGTTCATTTGCATAATCACATTCTGGTGCTGTTTCGAACAAGCGCTATTTCGAAACTGAAACCATGGTTTAGACATGGTTCTGCCGACAACGGGGTGATTTTTCGACAGATCCTGTACTCCTCGTTTTTTGATCTGTCGAAAAATCACCCCGCTGTCAGCAGAACCTTAATGGGCCAGCGTCTAAACCGTTGTTTCAGTTTCAAAATGGAATTTGTTTGAAACAGCACCAGAACATGATTATGCAAATGAAGCACGGGATATTTAAATCCCCGCTTCATTTGCACTTTTGATGTGCTTTATTTACATCCCTTTGCTGATAGAGGGGTATAGTGTAGACCTACCCTAAGTCCATATAGCAGAATCTGGCCCATTAAGGATTATAATCACCCTGCCTATTTTTAAACTTCTGTTTGACCCTGACCTACTTTTGAGCCTAAATTAAGTTGACAAAATAGACTAAATTCAATTCTTCTGGTGTAAGAGGATTCAAATTGCACGTGCCTCAATGCCAGCAGGGTGGAAGGGAAATGACTTGCTGCAAAGGGGGATATTGTTTTCAGAAGTGTTTTCCCCAGAGTTCCTCTGGAATGATGGTCGAAGCATGAAGGAGCATACAAATGTTTAGCATATCTGGCACATATGCATTAATCATATGAGTTAAGTGTGATTGACAACCCTACTTTGTATCTTATTAAAGTATGTAGAGACTGTTTGGTCCACACAAGATTATGATTAGGGTTATGTGACTCTCACATTGGGAATCACTGCTACAGGCTATTGAAGAGATGTCTTGGGAGCACCTGCCTCTATATTCTAGGCCAGGGGTTCTCAAACTTCATTTTACCACAGCCCCCTTCTAGGGATGTAACTGTCTAGTTGACTACCTGATAAGCATATGCTTATGGGTAGTGACTTGACTAGTCACTTCCCCCTCCCTCACCCCTGCTTGCTGCCTCTATCAGAGAAAGGCATCAAGGGTGGGAAAGCAGGAATCGGTGTTGGGGGGAGCTGGCTTAAAACTCGGTTCCCCCCAGTACTATCCTTGCAGGGGGCAGGGGAGGCAGAGGCGCTGCATCTCTTCATACATTTAAAAAGCAAAGGTGCATCGGGGTTAACTCCTGAGGCCAAAAGGGGGACTAAAACCTGAGCCTGCCTGAGCCCCATGACCAGGAAGGTGGGCAATGCCCAAGCCCCACCACCCCATGTGGGAGAGTGTCAAAACTGGAGCCCAAAGGCTTGAGTCGCAGGCAGAGGGCCAATAATGTGAGGCCTGCCACCCAGGATTGAAGCTCTCTGGTTTCAGCCAGAGGTAGGGTGGTTCAGGCTTCAACTTTGACCCCAGTCCCTGGAAAGTCTGAGCCAACCCAGATGACCCCATTAAAATGAGGTCTCAACCCACTCTGGAGTCCCACCCCACAGTTTGAGGATCCCTGCTCTAGGCAGTCTCTCCTTCCAGGCCCCATCAATGGTAACCCAACAAAAGCTCATAGACCTGCAGCTGAATATAGCTCCCTGATTTTATCCTTGAAAAGAATCTAAAGAACAGTTGCTTTGTTCAACAGTGTCTGGTGTTTGTGTTTTTATTTTCCACTCTGGAATCTCTTGTTTGCACTCTGAAGCAAAAGCGTGAACAATAGACCAGCTTTAATTTTTCCTGAGAGCATAAAATGTAGAATCACTTGGTGTTGCCTGGCCTGATTTCACGCAGTGAGATCCAGCTGTTGTTTACTGGGATTAGAATCCATTCTTAGGCATGGAGCAGCTATTTAGGTGGTTGTGCTTGGAAGCAAATCCGCTACCAATCAAATTGCTCCTAAAAAATTTAATGCTTGTAATGAATAGGAGGAGCATCAGCACAGAATGCAGCAAACGGATCTAATGCAAAGACAGAACAGAAGAGAGGAGAAAACTTTAGGAAGGGTGAAAAAAGAAATACAAGTACCTGGATGGGAAAATACTTCTGAAAGGAAAAAAGATATAAGTGAATGATCATACAGTTCACCCTTGTTCAAGCAACATGTCACGGCCAATGAACAGAAGACAAGATAATCACAAAATAGTAAGGTGTATTTAAATATATAAACATTACTGCATGTGAAGCTATTGTTTTATTGAAGTGTATTGTTTTGTGCAGTCATGATAGTAGACTAGCTAGAAAATAAAGCTGTGATACACATTTCAGGAAATCTATGCACCAAGAGATGAATCTGTCAATTGTAGAATGCACTGACGACATTTATGGCTTTGATGAAAAATAATCCTCTTGTGAGCAGCCAATCCTGTGACTTGACATATAGGGGAGCTTTTATTTTAGTTTCTTACTAGAACAGATCTCAGTATTAAAAATACCTGGAAGAAACTGACATTAATATTTCCTATGGAAACATTCTAATTTTTCTGTGACTGAAATGAAATGTTTTTCAGCCAGCCCTGGTCCAGAAGGAATCCAGATGGCAGAACTCTGCCCTCATTTTTGGGAGAGCAGAGCAATATCAACAAATTGTCTAGCAGCACCTTAAAGACTAACAAAACAGGTAGATGATAGCATGAGCTTTCGTGGGCAAAACCCACTTCTTATCAGCTACCCCGCTGAAGCTTTAGAGTAGTGGTTCCCAAACTTTTTGGCATCACGCCCTCTTTTTGATTTTTGAGAAACCCTCATGTCCCCCCCCCCCCCCAAATAGCAGTAAAACTTGTTGAGAAAAAAACGGAACTGACTGGGGCCAAAAAACAAAAATAGCAGCAAAACTTGGGGGGGGGGAGCAGGATTGATTGGGGTCGGGGGGTCACCTTGCGCACACACACCCTGGAATTTCTTCACACCTCCCAGTGTGGAAACCCATGCTTTAGATCAATATCAGTCATGCCTTTAGCACGAACCATGCTGCAGTTACAGATACAGATGGCTTAGGCAGGGCTGCAGTATATGAGCTGCCCAGCTGGATAACTAAACATGCCTCCTTGATGGTGGACCACACCCTCTTGGGGCTATGTGGTGCTTGACCACCACCGAGGCCAGTCCTCTTTCCTAGCATGAGAGACAGATCCTACACTCTGGCTTGAATGGGAAAGACAGGGACTAGTGAACCTGCACTTCACAGGGTAGGAGCTGGTCCTTAAGATCAAAATCTGCTCCCATTGGAAACAGTGTTAGAGCTCAGATTGATATCAATTGTACGTGGATTTGTCCCATAACCAGAAACTATTGATTGCCAAATACAGACAAAATGAAACATTTTTCTGCTCCAACTATTATGCTTGTTCAGTATTTTGATCAAGTGCACTATCTGTTAATATTCTCTTGATATTCCAAAGTTCATCGGCATATGAAACTGTCCCTGAAGCCTTTCTTAAACTACACAAGTATAAAAGTGAGAAATGAATATTCTTCTGTTCCATTAAAGGGTTAGAAAACCAAGATTGTCAATTTTTCTCTAGTTTGCTGACTGTGGTTTTAAGGGGTGAAATAGCCAACTACTGGAAATCTGCCACAAGAACACTCGGCTAACTTTTTGTTCAGGAGCCTGCCTGCCAAATGTGCATGTAGAAGGATGTCCATTTTTGGATTGCCTTAAGTAACTTTGCCCAGAAGTACAGTCTGGAAGTTGCTGCTTCACAGCTGAGCCTGGGATCAGCTGTGTGGTGGCTGCCCCTTAGAAATGCCACCTCCATGTGTTTTAAAGGGGCAGTGGAGCCCAGGGTCAACTGAGGACTCCCCAGCTGATCCCAGTCTCCACACGGCATTTCCTCAGAACCCAGGATCAGTTGGGGAGTCCTCAGCTGATGTCAGGTTCCGGGTAAGTGCTGTGTAAACCTGGGGTCAGCTGGGGATTCAGCTGCCCTTGGATTCTAGGGAAATGCCACACGGAGCCCGGGATCCACAGCTGACCGCAGGCTCCAGGGCTGCCCCTTTGAAATGCCAGAGGTGGTGTTTTAAAGGGGCAGCCATGGAGCCCAGGGTCAGTTGGGGACTGCTCAGCTGATCCTGGGCTCGCCGTGGCAGCAGAACTCAGGGTCAGGTTCTGGGGAAATGCTGGGCAGAGCCTAGGATCAGCAGGGGAGTCCTCAGCTGACCCCAGGCTCCACGGTTGCCCCTTTGAAACGCTGAATGAACTTGGGCAAATTCCTTCTGTTTTGGCCTTTGTTTTATTTACCAATTCTTTGAAGGAGTCATTGTGTCTTAATAGGTGTTTGTGCAGAGTTCTGCACAATTGGACTGAGCTCAAGTAGGGCTGTTAGATGCTGCCATATGTAAGTACAGCTATACTAATTCCCATTCAAGTCAATTGTTGTAGTCATAAGGCAAGAAGGGCTTGATTGACCTAAATGAGAAGAATACTGAGTTCTGTATTTTTATGGGTGAAATGTCCCCAGTGTCCAGTCCAAAGATAGTAAATGGGCTATAGGTTGGGGTGAGCTGTAGAGATTCCAGGCATAGGAAAGCAGAAACTTTTCCTCTAGGATGAAGTGCAACTCCAGGAGGCTGGTCTAATGCCTGGGACAGGAAAATCTAGGTAGCACCATTGGCCTTTTCCCCTGTCCTGCCCCAAATGCTGAGATATACTCTTGTGATCTGCTCACTGCCCAGGCTGCTAGAATCCTACTCGTGCACCAAGTGTGTTGTCTAGGGACCAGAAATATTTGTCAGTCTCCAAACCAATGACAAAGACTGTCTTAAAGAGAGCTTCAGCAAGGGTATTTTTTCTTTAAAAGAATTAGTCTGATCAACAACAAAAGTGTGAAAAAGATATGAGAAACCTAGATGGGAGGGTGGGGAGACTATTTCACCTTGATTACAATTATCATCTGAGATTTTTAAAATTACTATTCAGATTATTTGTATTGTGGGAGCAACTCAGAAGCCTAGTTAGGGCCCCTTATTGTCCTAAGTGCCAAGGCTCACTTCCTACCAAAGTGATTTAAATTGTGATGTAATGTTTAAACTGCATTTCCATTTCAATCCATCACCTTTTGCTTCTTTCTTTTAGCAGTCCCTCCGAAGCCACACAAGTGAACCCCTGTCATTTTTCTTTACTTCTTTTTATCTTTTAGGACTGGCATTTACCAAGCATCTCATCCTCTGCCTCGGCACATCACATGGTATGCAACAAATCTAGGTTACTCCATTTCCTGCCATTCCTCTGGATTTTTTCAGCAATACATTTGCAGTACAAAGTGTGTTTCAGACATAAGAACTTTTTATCCAATTGTTTCTGCTGAAAGTCCCCACAGAACATTGGGCACATTTCACAAACTTCTCTATTATGGAAGGAACGACCCAGCTAGAATTTCATTCTTGTCATAGAGGGCTCGATTATGCTCCCGTTTTACTCAGCTGAGCAGGGCTGAGCAAGATCCTCAACTGAATAAGACCTACCCAGATTTGGGGTTTGGATCAGGTGTCATGCACAGTCCCCCCTCTCTGGATACTCCCCTCTATGAGCAAGTGGCTGGGCAGAGGCAGACTTTGCTTAGTTCCATCCCATGCCTATCCACTGGCTACAGCAGAGAGATAGTCACGAGGCAGGGAAATCAATTACACTCAAGGATGAAAGATGCATTACCCCTCCTTCACCCCAGAGGAAAGGAGGAATTGTGTCCTGGATGAGCATCTCAGACACTATGCTTTCAGGGGCTATTCCCTAATTGGGGCAGTTTATTCACCAACCCATACTCACAACTTAAAAGCACAATCTAAGCCCTTGCCTACACACAAAAGTTACACAATACATGGGTATAGTAAAAAGGGTGGGGGACAACCTCCTTTTGTGAGCACAGTTCTATTGGTATAAACATTCTTACATCTGTCTAGCTAGTCCCATATTGGTAAAGGAATAAGCTGTACTAGTAAAAGTACCTTTGTGTATAATAACTTCTTCCACACGAGCTTAATCTTCTCTTGTACTGTGAGCATTTAGACGTACAAGGTGGAAGGAACCCTTATATTTGATTTTACCCAGACTCATTTTGGGGGTATGTGTCTGCACTCACCCTAAGAACCCAGATTTGGTACTAATAGGCAAGTTGAAGTCATGGAAGGCCCCTGGTGCCTTGGTGTAACCCAGCAAGCACAGAACACAGAATTCTGAACATTTTATAGTGAACCATATGATTCAAGGGAAACTGGGTGTTGGTGTCTGAGTTTGTCTACATTAGAAAAGTGCCCAAGGCTAGCTCTCGTGTTGTAACTAATCTCAGAGCACAGATCCAGGTTAATTCTTTCTACCTCAGTTTAGGAGGCCATTATCCACTTTTCCTAACATAGCTAAATCCTCTGGGAATAACCAGATCGCACTGAACATATCATCTCTTCCGAGGAACTTCGTGCTTTTGCTCTCCTACCTTGTTGATTTGACATACAGACTTTAGAAGCAGGTAGCATTAGCAGCAGAACAAACTTCTGGCTTAACAATGGAAAGTAATAGACTTATTTGTGTGGCAGAAATAGTGTAAGGATAAAACTCTTCAGTTCAGGAATCTGGAAGTGCAATAGCACTAAGAATGGAAGAAGAGCTGCTGATGAAAAGAATTAAAAATACTGATCTCGCATTAGATAGCTGAAAGAAGGAGAGGACTCCTCTGCTTTGCCTTGTCATTCACACCTATGCAGAAGAAGTGCAAAGTGGGTGTAAAGTGTTACTGTTCTGAATCAATAACTTTCTGCATCCATTTTGCATTCACTGTGCATAAATGTGAATGACAAGACTCAGACTCATTGCGCCTTTTTCGATGCAATGGAATTTAACTACACAAGTTGCTACTACTCTTGTAAAAGACCTAATGCTGAACTTGGCAGTCATCCCAAATGCCTAGCATTAGTCATGTTTTTTAAAAAATATTAGTCTTCTTCCTTCCAAAATTAAAACATATTGTTCTGCACCAGTCTTGCAAATGGTACTCCATGCAGGCATAAGGAGTGATGGTACAGATCTCTTGACAATACTGGGGTCTAGGTGAGAGGTGATGATAAGATAAGGTATACTGAACCCACATGCTGGATTTCACTGGCTGCATGTCTATAGACAGAAGATGTGTAAAGATAAATGTTGGGATTTTATGTATAAAGACAACATAGGAGGTTAGAAGGAACAGTATGAATTTGTTCCTAGTTTCTTTCTCAAGTCATATCCACACTCTTTTTTTCCCCTTTGTTTGACAGAGCAGAGAACTCTTTGTGCTCACCTATGGTGCTTTGGTAGCCCAGCTGTGTAAGGACTATGAAAAGGATGAAGATGTGAACAAGTATCTAGACAGAATGTAAGTAACATATTTATTCTTCATTCCACATCCAGCTTAGCATTAGTGACATCTACCTGCTCAGATATATTTCCCTCCAGCCTCTTATTGTTTGTTATTTGCAGAACAACAGAATCAGGTTTGGGACCACGCAAAGCAAGACAGTCCTTAACACCAAGACACTTACAATAAACTTCCTTGCAATTGACAAGATGGTTCAAGAGAAAAACCCATCACCCTAACAGAGACCCCCTTGGATGATTGCTTTCCCTGAACATTCTAGCAGATAAATTGAATGGCAGGAATGTTAGTGTCTTTTAATTTGGCAATTAATAAACAAGTAAGATCTTTGGGGACAGGGAAGGTCTTTTAGCACTGAGTTTGTATAACACTTAGCACAATACAAATCTAGTCCATGAGGAGGCTCCTAGGGATTACAAAAAACCATAAATAATACTATCATGAAAAATTGGACAGAAGCAATTTTTGAATTAGTTATCAATAAAACCTGTTTCTCAGAGGTAAGCTCATCCATATGGAAAACCTAAACTTATCATGGGACCTACATGTTCAATCAAAACAACTAGAATTTTGGATATCAGATACAATAAACTGCTTGCAAGCAAGTTATAGGCCAATAGCTACTCGCAAAAATTGTTCAGGACCACACCTGTTTGAGAAAAGTGCGATGTACACTCAAATTGAAATAAGAAAACAAACTATGGTAATTGAATCACTCATTAATTCTTCACCCCGCTCCAATCAGTATAATTTATTTTAGGGCATTAAATGTAGGTTCTTTGCAGGTTCTGTGGTAAAAATAGGGAAAAGTTCAAGCTGGGAGGTATGGAGTCCTACTTTACTTCTCTTCTACTACATGAAGATTTTCCTACGCTGTTTTACCTTTTCCATTCGATGAACAAACTGCTCTGGTTTAACCCCACTAACACAGTTACATGAATTTAGCCCACTGTTTTTATTGAAGTTTTTGTGAACAGGGCTATTTTGCCTCTCTGTTTCTGCAGCATTATACAGATTGTAAGTCATCAGCATGTCACTTCAGTTGGTTTTACGGCTCTAAAGGTTAAACTTAAAAATAACCTGAGCACTCTCTGGTATTGGTGATGTACATATTTTAATAACTGCTAATGAAATATTTACTAGGGCAGCTAATGATGATACTTAGCTAAATGGGCCAGTCAATAAATAAATATTTCATCGCTTGCCAGTACATCACACAGTGTTATTTTGAACCTTAGTCTTCCAGAAAGCTTTTTGTGATAACATGGCTTTGGGTATGATATAAGTTTTAGGCTTTTTGTCACAGGGCCTTATCCAAAATCAATGAGAAACTTTCCATTGACATCAGTGGACTATGAATAAGGCCCATAACAAGTAGTGAAAGAGATTAAGAAAGAATTAAGTTCAAATGGATATGGAAAAAAAAATCAATAGAAGCATTTCTGAGCTTGGCCCAGGTGCTTGCATTTACGTTTGTCAGTTTCATTAACTTTTCCTTCTACAAAACCTCCTGCACAATGTGTGACATAATTCAGGGATAGTTACAGAGACTATCTGTATATATTTAATATTTATATCATATATATAGTAGCCCAGTGTCTGAGAGTCTATAACACTGAAATGCTGGCTGTTCCCTGTGGGGGACACTGTTGCCTGAAATGCTGGCTGTTCCCTCTGGGCAGCCCGTGCTGCATGGGGAGTGCGAGGCCCAAACAGCTGATTGCGCGGCCCGGCGGAGCGGTGCAGAAGTCAGCCGAGTGCCACGGCGGGAGGCGAAGGGATGCGTGGCGATGACGTGCAGCATGACAGTGGCTCCAGGCCCTCCCCCCCGGCCGTGTATGTCACCACCCCACCCCCCTTCAACTTCCACCGTGGCGCTCGGCTGACTTCTGCAGTGCTTAGCCAGGCCGCTGCATGGGAGCAAGTGGCACAAGCGACTGTTTGGGCTCCACACCCCTCATGCAGCATGGAGAGTGCAGCGCCCAAATGGCCAATTGGGCTCCGCGGTCCCCCAAGTGAGAGGCAGGAGGGGGAGGAGAAGAGGAAGAGAGAGACAGAGAGAGAGGCAGGAGGCAGAGGAGAGCTGAAGGAGAGAAAGGGGGAGGCAGTAGGAGGAGGAGGAGAGAGAGAGAAATGGAGCGAGAGACCGGAGGCTCAGGGGAGAAGGCCGACATGGAGGAGAGACCTGAAAATCCCGTCTTATGACGGGCTAATTGGCTAGTATATTATATAATAGCCAATATTAATATTATCTTCAGAAGGCATGCAGTGAATTCAAAGGACCTACTTTATTTGGAGAATGATTTACAGTCTTTCATCCATTTTATATTGTCATTTCTCTGGAATCTGAGTTCCATCTCAACATTTTAATTGAATTTAAATTTAGTTAAATGCAAAATACATTTGGCCTAAATGCAACTAGTTTTGCGCAGAAGTTATGTAACAAACACTTCAGCTATTGTTTATGGTGATGAGAAATCAAGAGGAAGGAGCATATTGCTAGTAGAAAAGAGAGAAAAGAAAGTGAAGAAGGAATTTCAGAGGAGGAATGAAAGAAGGAAGAAAAGAGAAAGGGAGGGTAAAGGGAAAGGGAACAGTGGATGGAGGAAGGACAACAGAAGGCTGGCAGTGGAAGAGGAAGCTATGGAGGGATGGAAGAACCTACTCATATCTTGTGTGAGCCATTTCAGAGAGGCTGCAAGGGATAAGTATCAGAGGGGTAGCCATGTTAGTCTGAATCTGCAAAAGCGGTGAGGAGTCCTGTGGCACCTTATAGACTAACTGAAGTGTTGGAGCATAAGCTTTCATGGGCAAAGACCCACTTCGTCAGATGCAAGGTCTCTTGCAAGGGATAAGACTTTCAACCTGCAATTTCTGTGGCAGGCAAATGAACCAAGATGCTCAGGACAAATTGGACTCTGATCTGTTAGGCAACCCAAGTTATGTGATTGATGGGGAAGTACTTTTTTTCTCTCTATGGAAAACTACTGAAATGTCTTTAATAAATACATTAATACCACAGTCATGCCAGGGTTCAGGGTGCTCCAAGTCTAAGGGACACACTATCACAGCGGGTCAGATGAACGTTCTCTTTGTTCTTGCATAAATTGTACTTTATTGCAGGAGTCCACACAAAACATTACTCTCTGAAAACTGCAGTCAAAATGGCCTCTGCCAATTTTGCTAACCAGGTAGGCTGGTGTCAGCCAGCCATGGAACTAGTGGACATACCACTAGTATGCCATGGTAATGAACATGGTACAAAAACCTAAATAGAACAAAACCAGAATGTGTCTTCACTTGTGATCAAGTGCAAGCATCTAGCACAAAACACAGAAATATATTGCTATGAAGGACTGCAATAGTTTCACTTTGAAGGACCAGGTAACTGGGAACATTGATTGGTTTCTTCAATTATTCTGTCATTTATTTTTTTGCCAACTACTCTGTTTCACACACACTTCAAAGAACCTAAAATTTGCAAATTTCAACCTAAGCAAATGTGAAAAGGACATGCCAGTCTCTCAGACTATGCCTGGGTGTGCCAAACCAGTGTTTCTCAACCAGTGGTACAAGTATCCTTAGGGGTACTCAAGAGAAGTCTGGGGGGTACATCAACACAACTGAAATTTAGTTTTTAGTTTTACAGCACTTTATTGTTTTTGTACTTTTTACACCCCAAAATTTCATCACCCACTCAGCTACGATTAAGTTGTTTAAACTAATGTGTTGCAATAGTAGAAAAAAATGTTGTGTGTCTGAAAACCATAGCTACTGGGGGTACTTATAATTTTTTTACTTTTTAATTATTTTTTTAAAGGGGTACTTTATAAAAAAAGATTGAGAAACACTGTACCAAACTTTCATACTTAGGGCAATGAGACTGCTAGTGTCATCACATCAGCTGGTCACACTATGCTCAGTGTGTAATGGTCTTTTCAGAGGAACCCCTTTGAAAGCCATATGTCAGAAAATTACTATCTTGCCGCTACTAAAATCTAACCACTGTATCAATGCTAAATTGTATCAATGCCAACATTAAGACCTCTTTGACAGCATAGAGTACAGGCCCATTCTACATGGCCAGTGTGAAGTGGCCTTAGTGTATATAAAAACGGGTCCAAGTAAAATCTCCATAACTGAGAATATCTCCTCACTCAGGCAGCCGCAGCTTTTTCTAACCCAGTTCATGCTGCTGCTTTTCACAGAGAAAGAGTGAGACTAGAGAGAGGAATAAAGGGAGGAGACACAAAGCATTCAGCTTTTCATGTAACTTTATTTTCTTTGCCGCAGGGGATATGACATTGGTATAAGACTGATCGAAGACTTTTTGGCTCGCTCTGCTATGAGGAAGTGCCGTAGCTATTCTGAAACTGTAGACGTGATTGCACAGGTAAATATGTTTAAAGTAGCTAGCCTTTGGTATCTTCCGATGTCCTCAACCTGTGGGTGGACCATAGGACCTTATCTCATATCACTTCCTTCCAAAGCAGAGTTAGTCCATCTACCAATATGGTAGACTGTCTGACATGAAGGTATGATAAAGCAGACCGGATAGTCTGATGTCCTTCATATTAACACCAGCACACAAACTAAAGGTTGTTCACAGCAACAGTTCTCAGCCCCAGTGAGCACTGAAGAGTGCTATGATACTGTGAACTGTGAGCCTTTGAACTCTCCCACTACACTCACAATACTGGTCGACACAGCTAGGACAAGGGAGTTCTAACCAAGATCATGAGATGGCTAAACACTGAAGCATGTGCTTAACTTTCAGGAGCAATCCTCCCATAGTTCTGTTCTGTAGCTTTTATGTATATTTTGATGGCTAACACTGAGTCTATAGAGGATGCAGTGACTTCTGATTGGTCACTAGTAATTTAGCCAGATTTACTTACCTTAAATTTAGAACAGATTGTATGAGGTTCCACAAGGAATCATTATAACCAAGTACTGGTTCAAATAGGTATGAATTCAAATGTCTACATAGAGGTTATGTGCAGCTCTGCTGATGAGGGGAATGGAATGGGTGGGTGGGGAAACAGGGCAACTGCTCCATGGTATGACAGTTCAAAGGAGCCTGAGGCTCCCAGCCACTGCCGCTGCTACTGAGACAGCAGCAGTGGCCAGAGTTGTAGGCCCCTTCAGTTGCTGCCACAGCCCCGTGAGATGCAAACCAGGGAGCTCTGAGGGCTGGTGTGTGTATGTGTGTGTGTGTGTGTGGGGGGGGGGGGGGGGGCACAAAGGGCTGGCTGCCTCCAGCCCTGCCTCTTCTGATACTGAGGAATTGCCCCCCACACACACACATTGCTCACTTATAAAGGGCCAATTTACTTGTGCTAATCGAGATCAAAGGAGATGTTAATAATACTGTTTTTGCCTCTCCATAACAACATAAGAGCAAAAGAATGGCCATACTGGGTGAGACAGGATACTAGCCCAGTATCCTGTCTTCCAACAGTGGCCAATGCCAGATGCCCCAGAGGGAGTGAACAGAACAGGTGATCATCAACTGATCCCTCCCGTCACCCATTCCCAGCCTCTAACAACAGAGCCTGACGGTACCATTCATACCCATATTGGCTATGAACCATTGATGGACCTGTCCCTCATGAATTTATCTAGTTCTTTTTTAAACCCTGTTAAAGTCCTGGTCTTCACAACATCTTTGATATTCACACACAAGTGAATTGATCTGTGGCTCTCTGAGCTGGTCTGTTAGAATCACATAAGAATATGAAAAGAACAGGTTCTGACTCATGGAGTGCCTCAGCTTGCAAAGGGGCACTGTTTCTCCTCCCCATAAACCTTCCTTACTGAGTGCTTCATCAATTTCAGGTGCTTTCCCCCTCCATGGTCTGGAATTCCTGGGATGAGGTCGACAAATGTCTTTGATATCGACCGCGGAACGTCCAGACTACCGCGCTGAGCCGACAAACAGCTGATCGGCTCAGCGCGGCAGCCATGTAAATTTAAATGAAGTGGCGATTATTTAAATCGCCGATTCATTTTCCTATGCCGGGTAGTCTAATCTACATGCCTCTGTCGCCAGAGGCATGTAGTCTAGACGTACCCTCAGGGGGAGGGAGTCCAGGCTCATTGACTGGAAGAGGACCCTTTGGCACTACCACAGGGACTGAAGAGGGCTAGAGAAAAACTGGGAGTCAGTACAGAAGCACCGGCCCTTTGGACAAGTGGTTATGTCTGAGGGAAAACCTCACCTTCCAAAAGAAACTACCCATTGGAAACTCCAGCAGAGGATATATATAAGGCTCCTGTCCCCTATATAGATTTCCCCCTATAGGGGAAGATGATCTAGCCCTTAGTTGTCAATATCCCTACGATTCATACTTTTCAGTAGCAAATCAGATTCTTATTTTGTGAATGGTCTCTTAAGTTCCTTTCATAGCCTTAAAGGAAATTTTTTGCTGTTGCATATTGTGATTCTTGCCTGATTTTTGTTCAGAGAATAACTATTAACGCAGCATTTTAGAAGAAAAGATTGTTTGCTAAGTGGTCACTGATGGGAATCGCTGAGCCAGGAACAGTTATTACTAAAATGAACTACGTCAGGGTTTATTTCCATTTTATCATTCGGTGAGGTAAATGTATATGAGGCTTGGCTATGATTGCTTGTAATAATCCATATTATACAGACTGATCAGGAGCTAAACAAATACTGTAAATTTAGTAACACACACTAGAACCCATTCATCTGTGAAAACACAGCTTCTTTCTATTCAGGGAGCTAATATTGCTGATCCACCTGCTAGTCACTCATTCAAAAGGCATTGCCCTTTTCAATCCAGTAGAGGGCACAAATCATACCACCTTGTACATTCAATATGTGTCATCAGCCAAGCACTTGCAAATGGAAACACAAATATGCATTAAGAAGAGGCGAATCTAAATTGGATTTAAAAAAACAAACATTCCCACATACCTACTACAATTTATGCCACCATTTCAAACATAAATTCCACAGATTTCCCGTGTCTATGTAATGTACATGTTAAATCACCATTACATTTTAACAGTCCTCAGGGCTCCACAACTGGCATTAACTTGATCAGTTTGAAAAACAAATTCATTGATATATGTATAGACTAGCTAGGGGGAGACAGTAGCAAATGGGAAGGTAGCAGCAGACACTATTTCTGTATTTGCTAAAAGCTGGTATACCTTTTGAAGGCAACAGTATGTCCACATTAAAGTAGCACTACCATATCGCCGTTTCACTTCCAGCCCAATCATACAGTGGTTTTCCCCTGCAGTTTTTAACCTGGCAGGGTAACAACATATATAAACATTCGGTTCAGAAAAATACACAAACTCTGGGATTCTTTCCTAGACAAAGTTATTAGACTCCACTACATGTATAAGAAACAGGAAAGAAAGTTGAACTTTTCCACAACTGGGGAAAAGCAGTGGAATTGCAAGTCATACACCTTATTTCTCAGATTACTGTGTGTCTGGATGTGAAATGTTAAGAGGACAAAAGAAAACAAAAACAACTACTAAATAGCTCACAGTGGGCCCAGTTCTGCTGCTCTTTAATTTATCCAAGTACTTTTCTCCATGAGAAGCCCTATTTACTTCGGTGGGACCACTTGCTGACTAAGGTACTTTTCAATGTGAGTAAAAGCGGCAAAATCTGGGCCCAAAAGTTTAGCTGAAGATACAGACTGTGCAACATGACAGCAACAACATTACGTGACATGTGATCTTCTGATATTTTGGCATCAAGGATAGTTGCTGAACAATATCATAAATAATGTAACTGACATGGAATATCAGGAATCACTGTATCTTTTATGCTGGCTATGGAGGGACTAAGACCAGCATCCTAAAATGCATTTAGCTGCCTAGATCTAATTGAATTCAATAGGTGTGAGGTGCCTAAATACCTCCGCCCTAACTGCTCACGTGGAAATACAGAGGATCTCTTTGCATTCACAATAGTTGATGTTGCCAAATATCCTGTAACAAATTGTAGAGCCAAAGTCCCTCACTACACACATTTACTATGAGCTTTTGGTGTGACTGAACCATGTTTCTAAAGCAACAGCCACAGATCTTCCCTGCAATGTAGAAATTAAAATAGACGCCTCTAGATTGCATAAAGCAACTTTAGGAAGAGTGTTGTAAAGTCCCTCAAATCAACCTTTGGGCCTGTTCACATTTTTCATCTCTTTTCTGTGACATTTTCCTTTGTTTTCAAATATTAATACCAGATGTGAATTATTTTTCTGGTTTTACTGGGTATTTGAAGTTACCCACATTTCTGCTTACTAAAAAGGGCCTGATTTCTTCTTTTCCTGTTTTATTGTATAGTATAGTCGACCAAACACCACAGAAATAAGTAGAGAAAAACTTACTTACTCCAATTACAGGTTCAAATATCAACTGCTATCCAGACTATTTACCCTACTAACAAAAGGACTCTCGAGTAGCATGGGCTCAAGCAGTGCTTTTTCTGAAAGAAAAAAAAAAAAAAAGTGATGGTACTAGGGTTGCCAAATGGTTTCAAAATAAATTTGTTGAGAAAAAAAACAAACAAACAAACTCAAGGTGGAAAGTAACCAGGGAGACCTCGGAGGTTAGGTAGAAATGTGACCATGGCCCCTTTAATTCAGGCACTTCTGAATCCTTGTTGACAAAATAGCAGTTTAATGTTCTTAAATGTCACTTTCATGCCTAATGTTTTAAAAATTCTGGAACAGCACAACAGTATGAACCTTGGATTTTTACAATGTTCTTGATGTGTATCAAGTCAGGAATTTCTCCAAAATGAACCAGTACACAAATGGAAATAAAAGGAATAATCTCCGGTAAATGTAATCAATCCGCTAGTTTAAGTTTACACATCTTTTTGCATTAACCATTTCTATAATATCTCAATTCCTTAGCTCATTAATGTGGCTAAAATTAACAGATAAGGTACTTCAACTTTTAGCTGGCATATTTAAATGCACTGACTGACTGTGCAGACTAAATAAACTAAGTCAAGAACAATTATTATTATAGTTAGAGCCAGCAATCATTTGTTGGAGACAACATTGTGTAGCATTATGGCTCTGATCCTGCAGTCTTTAAGAAAGTAAAGTTCTCAAATGCTAAATTCAAGTATAAATTGGGAAGAAATTAAAGAAGAAGCTTCAAATGATGAGCATCATTAGTTCTAACCCTATCCTAACTGCTGGGAGGACAGAATTTAACAGAGCCACTTACTGTGAGTGGGGATTTAAAAACATTAGTCTAGTAATTCAGACACCAGCGTCTAGGAATGACTGCTAATTTTAACACAGTTGGTATGAGGCCAAGAGAGAATGATGATCAGCCAGAGTATACCCTTCTTGTACCAGTTTCCCATGCTACGAAGTGAATCCCTAT